TGAAATATTGTGGCCAGAGCCGCAGTACAGTGGGTAGGGCACATGGCAGTCCCGGTTCATTTCCCAGCACCCCATATGGTCCCCGAGCACCACCAGGAGTCGGCCCTGAGCCCCACAAACCAGAAACAAACAACAAAGCAAGATACAGAGCGGAGAGCTCAGCCTTCAGGGAGGTGGAAGAGTGGCACTGAGGCCCCCCTGCCCCCAGTCCACTAAAGCTGGCAACAAGGGTCCGCAGGTAGAGCAGGGAGGCTCTCATTTGCATGTAGCGACCCACACTCCATCCCAGGCACTGCATCGGTCCCCAGCACCTCCAGGAGTGAGTGATCCCTGAGTACAGCCATCGCAGGCTCCCCCCCCCCCCCCAGGAGAACTAAAAATAAGCCTGTCCCCTCTGGCCCAGTCACCCCCATCCCGGCCCCCAGAGGCAGGCGAGGATCTTACTCAATGCTGACTTGCTCGTCTCGGTTGGCATCTGGAGACACCCGGGGTGTCCAGCAGGAGGGGGATGGCCTGCTACAGCACGGCCCATCTGCAGCCTGAAACAGCACAGAAAAGAATGGAGCGTGGGGCAGGAGCGATAGCACAGCGGGGAGGGCGTTTACCTTGCACGCGGCTGACCCGGGTTCGATTCCCAGCATCCCATATGATCCCCCAAGCACCACTGAGAGTAATTCCTGAGTGCAGAGCTGGGAGAAACCCCTGTAGGGGCAGGAGCGATAGCACAGCAGGTAGGGCGTTTGCCTTGCACGTGGCCGAACCAGGTTCAATTCCCAGCATCCCATATGGTCCCTTGAGCACCGCCAGGGGTAATTCCTGAGTGCAGAGCCAGGAGTAACCCCTGTGCATCGCCAGGTGTGACCCAAAATGCAAAAAATAATAGCACAGCGGTAGGGCGTTTGCCTTGCGTGCAGCCAGCTGGCCGAGCCGGGTTCAATTCCTCCTCCTCTCTAGGAGTGCCCGGCAAGCTACCGAGAGTATCTCACCCGCGCAGCAAAGCCTGGCATACTACCCACGATGTATGGAAACACAGTAACAAGTCTCAATAAATAAATAAATAAAACATGGGGGGGAGGTTGGAGTGATAGTACGGTGGGGCCAGAAGCCGACCTAGATTTGACACTCAGCACCGGACGTGGGTCCCCATGCTCCCCCAGGACTTAACCCTGAGCGCAGAGCCTGAGCACAGCTGGGCATGGGCTCCCCCTACAAAAACAACCACGGAGAGTGTGCTCGAGGGCCCATCTGCTGGACATGCTCTGCACCCCTCAGGGGCCTGTGCCAGCCGCCAGCTGGTCGGCCTCGGCTGGCGACAGTGGCGGGCAGGTGCCACCTGGCTGCTCTTCACTGTCCTTGCCGTCTCTTTTGACTCGTGCCCCTCCCGGCGACCTCGGGATGGCGCCCGCTCTCAGCAGTGACCCTGGAGAGGTGAACCTTTAGCTCCAAGTGTCTCGGCCGGTGAGGTGGAGCACATGACCTTCTGTGGGTTTTTCTTAGACTTAAACACACTGCTGTGTGTGTGTGTGTGTTTGTGTGTGTGTGTGGGGGGCACACCTGGCTGTACTAGAGCTTCCTCTTAGCTCACTCCTGGCAGGGCAGAGGGGACCTGAGGGGGTGGCGAGGATTAAGCCACGCTGGCCGTCGGCACGGCAGATGCCCAGCCCCTGGTGTCGCAGTGCATTTTTGTTGGTCGAACCTCAGCCTGCGGAGATCGGACAGCCTGGGGCAGGGCGTCTCGAGGAGGAGCGAGCGGTCAGCTGGGCTGTCCGTTTGGAAACGGGGTGGTGAGGTCTCCAGGGACCCAGCGTGGCGTGGCTGGGAATGGGTCAGCAGGCTTGGCGGTTGGTTGGGGCCACATGATTCTACTTCCCGCTTCAAGGCCCACGGACCGTGGACCTGTCGCTGTACATTCCGCTGTGGAAAGGGAAGGAGGGCCGAGTAGTCTTTTTTTTTTTTATTGCTTTTTGGGTCACACCTGGCGATGCACAGGGGTTACTCCTGGCTCTGCACTCAGGAATCACCCCTGGCGGTACTCAGGGGACCATATGGGATGCTGGGAATTGAACCCGGATCAGCCGCGTGCAAGGCAAATGCCCTACCCGCTGTGCTATTGCTCCAGGCCCCCCCCATTAATTTTTAACAAGGAAAATGTCTGCATGTTTTCCTTATGAGATTAAATATTAATTTACAGCTATGGGAACCTGCCAAGCACTTGGCATCTGGCTGTGGTGGGCTTGTGTGTCCCAGGACTGACCAGCACCCTGCCAGCAGGCGGGGGCCCCTCTGTATGGACTGTCACAGTGATGACCACACAGCTGCTCTGGGACCGGACCCTTCCCACAGCCACAGTCAGTGCCACCGCCGCCCGCCCACCATGAGCAAGCATCTCATTCCCCCGCAAGTCTACCCCAGAGATGCCGCTGGAGTCCAGGTGGAGGGGCGCCCCTCAGGCAGCTGGCCCGGACGCTTTAGACACGTCCTTGTTAGGAATGACCCAAGTTGAGGATCTTTCTAGAATAAAGGCAGCTCTAGGGGCCGGAGCAGTAGACAGTACAGTGGATAGCGTGCCTGCCTTGCGTGCGGGCAACCCGGGTTCGATCCCAGGATTCCCATATGGTCCCTTGAGCACCACTAGGAGTAATTCCTGAAGTGCAGTGAACCAGGAATAAGCCCTGAGCATTGCCAGGTGTGACCCCAGAAGCCAAAAAGCCCCCCAAAAGGCGGCTATGGAGACATGTGCAGAGAGTTGGCTCTGAGCCCAGGTGTGGGGCCTGCAGAGGCCGAGCTTTGGCCCTGGGTCCTGGCACCCCGCCCAGCTCTGAGCAGCAGTCCCCAGAGGCCAGGGCAGGGGCAGGCAGGCGCATTTGGAGAGGAGGGTCAAGGACCCAGTGTCTGTGGCGGGTGCCCCGGAAGCCCCAGCCGGCACTGCTGTGCCAGGGACATGGCCCTTGCGAGGTGCCTCCGGGTAGAAGAGTCTCATGGGGTTTTTTTTTGGCTTTTTCTTGGTGTGTGTGTGGGGGGTCACACCCAGCGATGCTCAGGGGTTACTCCTGGCTCTGCACTCAGGAATCACTCCTGGCATTGCTTGAGGGACCAAATGGGATGCTGGGAATCGAATCCAGGTTGGCCGCATGCAAGGCAAATACCTTTTCCGCTGTACTATCACTCCGGCCCCTCGTGTGTTTTTCTGTCATGGAAAAACAATTTCTAGTGCTGGAGAGGTAGTCCAGTGGCAAGAAGTGACCCCTGAGCATAGAGCCCAGAATAATAACCTGGGTGTCAGCCAGATACCAAAAGAGAAACAAACTCAGACGGGCCATGAAGAAAGTGGCTGTGGGGCTGGAGCCATAGCACAGCGGGGAGGGCGTTTGCCTTGTACGTGGCCGACCTGGGTTCGATTCCCAGCATCCCATATCGTCCCCCGAGCATCGCCAAGAGTAATTCCTGAGTGCATGAGCCAGGAGTAGCCCCTGTGCATTGCCAGGTGTGACCAAAACAAAAAATAAAATAAACAAACAACAACAAAAAGAAAGTGGTCATGCTGTGCCCCATGCCATGGGCGAGCCCCCTGCACCCCAGCTAGCCGTGTCTGCGCGCCAGGTTGTGGGCTGGCTGTGGTGCTCGCCTGGGGCTGTGCTCCTCGCCACTGTGCTCAGCACACTGGCCGCAGCCCAGAGGGAACTTCCCGCCCTGTCATGTGTGCAGACCGTAGAACCGCGGCCGTCTGGAGAGGTCCGTGCAGCGACACCGGGGCTCGCAGACTCGGCGTTGGCTTGTGATGCAGGCGCAGTGAGCCACTGAGCCTTTCTCGTATGCTTGGACGCCTGCGGTGCGGTGGGACTGACTAAACGCCGAGCACTGCCTGCAGGAGAACTGCAGAGGTGTTCCCACTTGCACCCCGCCCTCCTTTTCTTTCTTCTTGGGTCACACCTGGTGATGCACAAGGGTTCCTCCTGGCTCTGCGCTCAGGAATTACTCCTGACGGTGCTCGAGGGACCATATGGGATGCTGGGAATTGAACCCGGGTCGGCCACGTGCAAGGCCAACGCCCTCCCCGCTGTGCTATTGCTCCGGCCTTTTGCAGCCCCCTTTGCACCCGAGAAACGCAACACGGATGAACACGGTCATGATGCTTGTAGGTTGTGATGGGGTGGAGTTCGGGTTATTCGGTGGCTGTGCATTCAGAAGGCTCCAGGCTTGACTTTGACAGTCAGGAGCATCTGCCGCTGTCTCCTGTCGCTGTGTTTCTGCCCCACTTGCGGCCACAGCAGCCATTGGGGCGCCACCTGCAGGGTCAGAAGCTAGGGCTAGATCTGATTCGGTGGCAGTGAGAATTCGTCTCGCCAAGGTGCCACTCAGTTTTCTTTTTGGACCCCCTCAGCGGCCGTGCTTGGGGGGCACCATTGCTGCTCTTGTCTGCAAGCTGGGGGAGGGGAGGTGTGGCCGAACGACTCCCAGCCTATGACCCAGGACGCTTATGGCCCCAACGTGAGCTTCATGCCCTCATCTGAAGCTGTCGGGCCCTGGGACATTGGCCAGCCGTGAATCACGTGACCATTTGGGCGGGGGAGCTGTCAGCCCTCCTCAGAAATCCTGGACGCAGAAGTGACAAGAGGAGGCGGTCGGTGCCGTATTTGTTCCCGGCAGAGGGATGGACTCTAGGTAGAAGGAGCCTGGCGGTTGCTGAGCGCACAGGACAGGGGCCAGGCTGCATTTTCCAGTTCTTTACCTGGCAGTACTCAGGGCTGACTCCTGGCTCTGTGCTCAGGAATCACTCCTGGTGGTGCTCAGGGGACCCTACGGGATGCTGGGGATCGAACCCTGGTCAGCCACGTGCCAGGCAGACGCCCTCCCCGCTGTGCTGTCTCCGGCCCCTGCCCCCGTTCTAAATGGTCGTAGTTGCTCTTGGCTGTCAGACTGTGACCTGGGTCCTCGCATCAGCTGACACAATCCGATGCGGACCATGACGCCTGCGCCCTGCCGGGCTGCTCACCCCCCAGGAAACGCACCGGATCTACAAGCAGAAGCTGGAGGAGCTGACGGCCCTGCAGACGCTGTGCAGCGGCTCCATCTACAAGCAGAAGTTGCGGCTGAAGGATTTGAAGCGCTCGCTCCAGAGGTAGGGGGCAGCTGCAGAACCCTGCGGGGCTCTGTCTGGATGCCCAGGGCAGGGTCTGAGCCGCGACACCCTGGTCCCGGGAGTGGCCTCTGAGCACTGCCCAGCGTGGGCCCAAACCCAAATCCGAACAGACAACAAAACCAAAACTGTCTTGAGCAGAGAATGGAAATGTTCTCGGGAAAATCACCCAGGAGTAGTTTCGGGCGCCCCTAGATCCAGGGGCTTTTAGGAGTCTGGTTTTCCCCGCCAGGCTGTGTCTTGCAATGGCTTTTGATGTGGCGCTGGGCATACTGTCCCCTTGTGGTCATGGACATGGGCACCCGCCCACAGAGCCGCCGTGAGCTCCGTTGGCTGGAATGGGTCACGGTACATTGGGCAGACCTGGGGAGTGGCGGGTGGGCCTGGGACAGAGGGGCTGTCTGGAAGGGGTGCTGCTGGCCGGTGAGACCAGGTGCCAGGATTAGTGCCCATTCCTCAGGGCTTCATGGAAGGGGAGGACTCGAGGGCTGCTCTGTTTCCCTTGCCAGGGGAAACTGAGGCTCTGAGGGGCTTGGCCCAGGTCTCTTCGTGGCCTTCAGTTCCCACCTCAGTTCTTCCCTTTCCCGGGCCAGGCATGTGGCTCAGTGATCGAATATTGCCTTGCATGCGTGAGGCCTCGAGTTCAATCCCTGGTACTGTAAAAAATGTATTTCAGTGAAAAGGTTTTAATGGTTTCATGCTTCCCTTCCCCAGCTTTGGTGGGGAAGGCTCCCCCTAGCACCCACCAGCCCTGGGTGACCATGTCGGGGCCGGAGAGTAGTTGGGTCTATCAGGACTTGAGAAAGACGTGGCTGAGAGGACGGAGGGGGGTGTGGGAACCGTGGCTCTGCCCGGTTCCGTCTGTCTACAGAGTGGCACCAGGCACGCCCCTCTGTCTGCCGGGATGTGGTGGGTGCCATCCAGTCCAGTTACTCCTTTGGGGGTGGGGGGTTGGTCCTCACCCAGCAGTGCTCAGGGCTATTTCTGGCTTCATGCTTTGGAGTGACCCCTGGGGGTGGGTGACAACCCAGCACATCACATGCAAGGTCAGGGATGAAAAGAGGGTCAGAGGCTGCCACGGGCAGGGCCAAGTGCTGGTGACCCCGTCTCTGCCCACCCTGCAGTTATGCCCCTAGTACACCTGGCGAGGTCAGCCTGTTACCTCCGTTTTCTTCATACCCCTGGGAATAAGGGGCCAGTGTGCCCCCCACCCCAGGGCGACAGTATCCGACACAGACAGAGGTGGGGTTGGGGAGCAGCCGTGAGCCTGCTCCGTGCTCCCACATTCCTCCCGGGCCTGAGCTGCACTCCCTGCTTCTGTGCCCGCACCCACCACAGGTACAAGCGCCATGGCAGCCGGGAGGAGGCCGAGCTGGCCCAGCAGATGGGCACCAACATCAAGGAGCGGCAGGACGCCTTCTTCGACATGGAGGCCTACCTGCCCAAGAAGAACGGGTAGGCACGGGGTCGGTCGGGCCGGGGGTGGGGGCATCACAGCCCCTGAGCAGCTCGCCCCTAGGGCACAGGCACTTCCTGAGCGCCTGCCGTATGCCCAGCTGCCCACTTGCCTGCAGTTGCCTGCTCCTCAGCGCGTGAGCCGGAGCACGGTCCCGAGGCAGAGCGGGCATCGCGGCCAGGTGGCTGGGCCCGGGAGGCCAGCACAGGACATTGTCAGTCTCTCCGGCCTCCCTGCCCAGGTGCCCCATCTCTAGGTTAAGGTTAGGGCAGGTGGGTGGGGGGGGATCCCAGGGCTGGTCCTCATTGGGCCAGATCATGTCACGTGACCGGCTGTGCCCCAATCAGAACCTGCCCTGGAGCCTCTGGGAACCGTGCCTTGTGGGGCACTTGCTTTTTTTTTCCCCCTTCCTTTTCTTTTTGGGTCACATGCTGCGATTGATGCTTGGGGTGACTCCTGGCTCTGCACTCAGGAATTACTCCAGGCGGTGCTCGGGGAACCCGATGGGATGCTGGGAATCGAACCCGGGTCAGCTGCATGCAAGGCAGATGCCCTCCCTACTCCGACCCCAGCTAGGTGGTTGTTGTCATAGCTGGGTTCGTATAACTTCTTGCTTTTTTTTTCTGTTTTGGGGACACCCCCGGCGGTGCCCAGGGCTAAATCCTGGCTTTGCTCGGGGATCTCTCTTGGCAGGCTTGGGGAACCCTATGGGATGCGGGGATCAAACCAGGTCAGCTCGCCTGAAAGACAAATGCCCCATCGCTGTACTGTTGCTCTGGCCCCGCAGTGTGAACCATGGGTAGTGGCCCTAGAATCCACTTGCTGCTAAAAAGGATCCAAAGCCCTTTCTCTCTCTTTTTTTTTCTCCTTTTGGGTTCCACCCGGTGATGCACAGGGGTTCCTCCTGGTTCTGCGCTCAGGAATTCCTCCTGGCAGTGCTCAGGGGACCATATGGGATGCTGGGGATCCAACCCGGGTCGGCTGCGTGCAAGGCAAACGCCCTCCCTGCTGTGCTACCGCTCCAGCCCCCCGAAGCCCTTTCTCTCTCACAAACTCTTCCCCTTTGGAGCCAGTTAGATGTCACTGCCTGCATGAAATGTCCCAAACCCCCTCTTGGGGGGGTCAGCTGCAGATCAGTAACCCTTCACTTTGATTTCTCTCCCACTATGCAGTGTAGAGGTGCGTGGGCACGGGGGGAGCTTCCTGGGTCAGTGAGGGTCTGGTGGCCCCTCCTAGCTGTCTGCTTCACCCCCTCCCCTGCATGGCCAAGGCTGGTTCGCCGTCACCTTCTCAGCAAGAACCGGGGCAGGATGGTGGAATATTTGTATTTTCCCAGCGATGCCAGACACACACCTACCCTGAATCACACTCAAGCCTCACACCCAGCGTGAGTGTGTCCCGCGTTCATGTCCAGAAGCCATGGGCCTGGCTTTCTGACTGCTGTGTGTCCCCAGGGAGCAGACAAGGCCACTAGAGACAGTTGATGGGGGCCTGGGGCAGAGTTATGGGGGGCTGTGGATGGGAACTGGGTGTGTCCTTGTGGGAGGGGTAATGAACGCATCCTAGAATCGGGTAGTGGTGGTGGGTGCATAACATGGTGAATGCCCGCAGAGCTGGTACTTCGAGAAAGGGCAGAAGAGGGCGGGCTGGGGGAGGAGACAAAGGTGGATCGCCCGCCTCGCGTCTTGTGAGGCCTTGGATTTGATCCCCGTGCCTCAGAAGACTAAAAATAACTGAAACAGAAGACTGGTATGGCATGTGAGTTATATGTTTAAAAAAAAAGGAGGAGAGGAGTTGGGGTCCTTGCCTTACATGCAGTAACCCTGGCTCCACCCCAGCGCCACGTATGCCTCCCTGAGCACTGCTGGGAATGAACCTCAAATCAAAATAACAACAACAAAAAAGCTTGCTTTCAAGCCTCAGTAGTTCTGGAGTCCACTTCCGGCGGTCTGGGGCTGGGGCCCGGGCCTCCCGCTGCAGAGCCTGTGCTCACCCTCCTCGGTCAGTTTGGAAGAGCAAACCGGTGCACACGGCAGCTTCCTTCATGACAGCCAGACGCTGAGACAGGCACGTGCTCGCCAGCCTGACACAGTGCCTGTGCTGTGGCCGTAGATGGTGGTCAGCTGCCGTGGACACAGGACAGAGGGATCCCGTGCAGGGGCCCTGGAGCTGAGAAACGCATCTGGGTGACCCCCGGGCGCTGCTGGCAGGTGTCACCGCACGTGACACGCTGTGCTCCAAGTCCCAGAGCCTGGCATCATGCCCCTCCCCCGCCACTGGGAATAACCAGGGCAAAGATAGTGCCAGGGACAGTTGGGGGCTGCGTTCTGCTTGTCGGCGTAAAGACCAACATGTGGGCCAGGGCAGGGTCCAGCGGGAGGGACTGTAACTGTGCAGAGACTATGACCTCTGTACACTCCGGCCCTCCAGGTGTTTTATTCGTTCTGAGGGTCAGTTTCACGGATGTGGAGGTTGCTTAAAAAAAAAAAAAGCTTCATGTCGCACACTGACATCTTGTGCACTTAAGGAAGTTGTGCCTTGGTTTTAAAAAGCCCTTTGGGCTGCACTGATCGTGCAGGGGCCAGGGCGCCTCCCTCGCTCGTGGCCAACCCCAGTTCTATCCCCGGCACCACATGTGATCCCTCGAGCCCCAGCAGGAGTGATTCCCCGGGCAACAGCCTGATACGGCCCAAACCCATCCCCCCAAAAAGTAAAAAGAGTTTCTTTTTTTGAAGGATCACGCCCAGCATGGTCAGAGTTAATTCCAACTCCGCTCAGGGACCATCATGTGGCTCTCGGGATAACGTCATCCTCCCACATACAATGTCGTTTCAGGACCCTGGGCTCTCTCCAGCCAATGAGCCCTTTCAGTTTCGCTCAGGGCTTACTCCTGACTCTGTGCTCAGGGATTACTCCTGGCAGGCCAGGAAACCGTATGGGATTCCCAGAACCGAACCTGGGTCAGCTGCGTGCAAGGCAAGCGCCCTACTCGCTGTACTGTCTCCCTGACCCGTAAGACCCTTCTTGAGTTAACAGAGCTTGTATCCACGCTGTCAGTTCATTGGCTGGCGCTGAGAGCTGCAAGGGAGTCTGGGAAATAAGGTCTCTCGGCCAGCTAAGGGGAAATGGGTCACGGGTCACAGTTGCCACTCTCTCGTTAATCGCTGTTCTCTCCCACTGTGAGTTGACCGTGCAGCCTGACATGCTGTCGTCTAAAGCGGCAGTTGGTGAGTGTCCAGCCTGTGGGACTGTCCGGGGTTGCGGTGGCTCAGGACCCACGCGGGCCTTTCCTTCCAGGCTCTACCTGAACCTCGTCCTTGGCAACGTGAACGTGACTCTCCTGAGCAACCAGGCCAAGTGAGTACCTCTGTCCGCACTGGCCCCTCGGCACCCAGGCGCCAGGCGTCAGCTGGGGCTTTCTCGGAATTGGAAAGTTCACGGGCAGAGGCAGAATACTGGGCACCTGCCTGGCACACAGCCTTTCTGAGTTCCATCCCCGGCACCCCAGATGGCCCCCTGAGCCCCACCAGAAGTGATCCCTGAGTGCAGAGCCAGGAGTCAGCCCTGAGCACCGCCAGGTGTGACCAAAAACCGGCCATTAACCGTGGAGGCTCCGGCTGTGGCGCTGGCCTCGGACGTGCTCCTTGTGGGGGAGCCTCCTGGGGTGGGGGGTCCCTAATGTTCTCAGTGTTCTGGGGCTCGGGATATTAGTTTCTGGGGAAATGGCCCCTTTTGCTGCCTTCCACGCTTGGGAAGCAGGTCTCAGCCCTCCCCGACCCTCTCCATTTCCTGAGGGAGCTGGGCTACTTCCCTCCTCCGGAGACCCTCACTGTCTATTCCAGTCCCTCCTCAGTGACACCGGAGGGTCCCGGGGCTGTGGGTGGCAGTATGGCAGAGGGCCCGTGTGGCTGTGGCCGCTGCTCCTGACCGCTCGCCCTGCGGCCTTCGTGGGGGCGCGTCTCGCTGCAGGTTTGCCTACAAGGACGAGTATGAGAAGTTCAAGCTCTACCTGACCATCATCCTGCTGCTGGGGGCCGTGGCCTGTCGCTTTGTCCTTCACTACAGGTGAGGGGGTGGGGTGGGTGGGCGGGGCCTGTCTCACCTCCAGAAGGCTCAGTGCCCTCAATTGTGTCAGTGGAGAAGGGCCTTTGGCCCCCCAAACCCACACACACCCCTCCACGAGTAAGTACTCAGAGGCTGCAGAATGCAAAGTGGTGTCCGGGAAGGAGTAGAAGGATTGTGGCTTCCAGGCGAATGTAGACAGTGTTCCACGAAGTGCAGAGAGAAACCCATCACGAAGCCCACGTGGCCCAGGGTCCCGCTCGGAACCTCCAGAGCAGATCCACGGAGGGTGGCCAGGGGCTGGGCAGGGCAGTGGGGGACACGGGGAGAGACTGCTGATGGAGGTCGACTGTGGGGTGTTCTGGAGTTAGTGGTGGCGGAAGGTTCTGGAATGAAAGAAGTGCTTGCTGGGCGCCTGCCAGCAACTGTGCCAAAGACACCAAGTCGTGGACTCCATGGACTGGACTCTGTGTGGCGGGAACTCGGGAAGAAGAGGAAGGAAGGAGAGGGAGTGGGGAAGCCCTCGCCTGCCGGCTCGTGGTGTGGATTTGGGGTGCACTCCGGGGCGCGCAGCCTGGCCCGCAGCCCTGCCGTGAGAGCAGCAGCTGGAGCCGGGCTAGCGGGAGGCCGGGGCGCAGGCGGCGGGCAGTGCCCCGGTTGGCTGCTTCCCCAGGCTGCTGCCAAGCACGCCTTGGGCGTTGGGCCCACATGTCAAGGGTTTATTTCCTGCCTGACGCTTGATGGGGAGGTCAGTTGTTGGTCTGGCCTGGCTTTAATGCCCAAACAAATGGGTCTTTTAGGCCTTGGGTCTGTGCCCATCTGGGGCCTGGGGCCTGTGCCCGCCTGGCGCCGGCAGCCTGCGGCCTGGCCCGTTTCCTGGAGGCCAGCGGCGGCCATAGCACTGATGCCTGTTCAGGGCCGCACTCGTTGGGGAGGTTCTGTGGAGTGACCAGATTCCTGGTGGGGCCCTCGAGGGGCCCCGAGCGCAAAGCCCAGGTGTATGGTCAGGGTCTAAACTGAGTCCAGGGGCTGGAGCAATAGCACAGTGGGGAGGGCGTTTGCCTTGCACGCGGCTGACCTGGGTTCAATTCCCAGCATCCCATATGGTCCCCCGAGCACCGCCAGGAGTGATTCCTGAGAGCATGTGCCAGAAGTAACCCCTGTGCATGGCCAGGTGTGACCCAAAAAGAAAAAAAAATAAACCGAGTCCAGCTGGTGCGCATTGGCCCAATACCCCATCCAGTCCGTCTTCTCTTAATGGGGACGCGGAGGGCACCGCCAGCCCCCCTGGTGTTTGAGGGGTCTGGCACACAGTGCTGAGTGTTCCGGGCCACTGTCATCTTGTGGGGACCACATGACCTGTGAACGCCTCGCGCAGTCTTGCCCCAGCTTGGCTCCTGGGCACCGCCCGTCAGGCATGGCCACAACTTCAGAGCTGGGGCTGCGTGTCCAGCACTGCCCCTTGGGCTGGCTGCCTTGCATGGAGCCCTTGAACCCCCCTGCATCCACTCCCCCATCCCCGGGACCACCTGCAGGCCCAAAGCCGTGTCCCTGGGAAGGGCTGGGCGGGGGATGAGCTAGGGGTTTGTGGACTCGGACTTACTGGCCAGGAGATGTTGTGCCCCACCCCACCTTCCCCAAGCCTCAGTTTCCTTTGCTGTAAAGTAGGAAGTTGCCATCCTGTGGTAGTTTGGGGTCCCTCCAGCGCCCAGCAGCGAGCTGGGCCTAGTGTGGCAGCTACATGAGGGTCCTGGGGGGTCGATGCCAGGAGGCCAGTGATTTCCTCAGTCTCAGGCCTGGCACGCTCGGTTGCTCCTGGAAGGACAGGAAGCGGCTCCTTCCCTCCTCCAGGGCCGCCCAGCCCTTGGCATGACTCGAAGGGGCATTCTCGGGTGTGCGTGTCCCCTGGCCTCCCCGACCATGAGGTCAGCAGGGGAGGTAAGAGACGGTGCAGGGGGAACGGCCCTGGTTCCGTCCCAGCGCTGAAGATGTCCCCAAGCACTGCCAGGGTCACTCCAGAGCTCAGAGCCAGGAATAGCCCCTGAGCATCACTGGGTGTGGCCCCAAACCATCCTCTCCTCAGGGGCCAGGTCACTCCTGCCCCGTCCAGCACCTCTGTGACCGGGGCTGGGAAGGACGCAGAGGCCTGTGTCAGAGCTCCGAGTGGCTCCTCGGGTTAGGTCCCCTCGGGAATGCGTGTGGAGGCGGGCAGTCTCCCCCTTCGCTGAGGCCACCGGCCTCGCCGCTGGGGTGAGTGCAGCCTGGGATGCAGTGAGCTCTGTCCTGTGCAGACCCGGCGCCAGGGCCCGGGCTTCCTCGTGAGTCTGACCATGGTGTTGAGGTCGATAGACAGTTCGGGGCGACCTTCACAGATGGCTCAGGGCCGAGGGCCGCTGCATCTCGCTGCTGCTGGGGCAGAGGCTGCCTGGTGGTTCCCTACTTCGGCTCCTCTGTCCCTGCCAGCCGCAGCCTCGGGCCAGACAGCTTCCTGGGGCAAGGGTGGGTGGCCAGCAGGGAGGGGAGCCAGAGCATTAGCACAGCAGGGAGGTTGTTTGCCTTGTATGCAGCCAACTGGGGTTCCATCCCCGGCATCCCATAGGGTCCCCCGAGTACTGCCAGGAGTGATTCCTGAGTGCAGAGCCAGGCGGAAGCCCTGAGCATCGCTGGGTGTGACCCAAAAAGTGGGGGGCTGGGGGGGAAGAGCAGGAAGGATCCAGGTAGGAAGGTGAGGAGGGAATGGGTGTTCGGGTGGGGACAGCACCCCGCTTCTCATGCCTGCTCCCCTCCCCCCCAGGGTGACGGATGAAGTCTTTAACTTCCTGCTGGTGTGGTATTACTGCACCCTGACCATCCGGGAGAGCATTCTCATCAGCAACGGCTCAAGGTAATGGGGCTAGCTGGGGGCGGGCGGGGCCCTAGGGGGACCCGGAGGGGAAACCCACACGGAACGCAGCAGGTGGCGGCACCCTGGCTCCAGTGGCCTTCCTCCCGGGCGTCCTGTGACAGCTCACCCAGGGACAAGGACAGTTGCGTGGGTAGCTTCACCACAGCACCGTTCCCACGGCCGGCTTTAGGCGAGAAGCCCTGGCCCAGCGGGTTCACATAGCACAACACTGGCTTTCTCATGTCCAGCGATAGTGCTGCTGGCAGCGGCTTGGCCTCGCTGTTCAGGTCGTGGGATTTCTCTTCATCTCTCTCTCTGTGCGGCTGTCTCCTCAGTGCCAGGCCGAGCACCTGGAAGCCCCAAGCTCACCTCTTTCAAGCATTCCCAGTGCAACCAGACAGATTTCCTCTCTTGCAGGGATCTCACTGGGCCCTGCTGGCCACTAGCCCTGAGCCAGTCACTGGGCAGTCAGAGTGCTCCGAGGCGACTGACCAGGCGTGGGCCTCATGCCCCTCCCGGCTCCGTCGCTGGAGTGTAGAAATGGTGGCAGAGGGGGAAGATTCTGCCAAGTAGCTAGACGTTAGCTCTGGGTGACTGGGACACAGTAGCAATACAGGCCCATCCTCATAGGGAGGCGGGGGCAGGAGGGGTGAGGAGCCCTCACACGGCCAGGCTGGGCAGAGGGGACCAGCCAGCACTGTCCGAGCAGCTCAGCTGGGCTGGGCTCATCCCCCTCTGAGGGCTGACTCCGTGCCCCCGTGTTGCCCAGTGGTCAGGCACGGTTGGGGGCCCCCTCATTCCCCATTCTGAAGTGCCTCCCCATCTTCACTTGGTCCTTTCCGCCTCTCCCATGAGAGTGGAGAGAGTGGGCGCCTGTTAGCCCCATATGCCCGCTTGTACCTCTGCACCACTGGTTCCTGGTCTTTCCTAAAACAAAAAGTCACAACTTCCCGGGTCCCGTGCCCTCCCTTCCTCCAGGGCTAGTCAGGACAGGTCTGGAGCTTGGACAAGATCAGGGCTAGAGCAGTAGTAAGGCGGGAGGGCGTTGGCCTTGCACATGATTGACTGACCCGGGTTCAATCCCCGGCACCCCATAGGGCTCCTTGAACACAGCCAGGAGTGACCCCTGAGCACTGAGCCAGGACTAACCCCTAAGCACCACTAGGAGTGGCCCTCAAAACCAGAAAACCAAACGGGTATCATCCAAGCCCTCGGATAATTTTCCACCTTCTTACTTTCTTGCTCCTGAACGTAGTAGTGTTGAGAAGTAAGGACCTGGGGGCGAGTCTGAGGCACCGACACTGTAGCCCGTAGAACTTGCGCAAAGTTGAATGTTTTGCAAGCCGAACGCTCTCGGGTCTGGCCCCGTTTGCCGTGTCTGTGGGCCATCTGGGTGAAAATCTCCTGACATTTTTAAATCAACCCTCTCCTTTTCTTTTTTTTTCTTTTTTTCTCAACTTAAATAAACATTTATTTGAAAAGGAAACTGTATTTCACCACCATACATGGAAAACTAACATCAATGCAGGAAAGAGGAAGTCGTGTAAAAGCTCTTTTCATTGTCTGATTTCTTGAAGTCGATCCCTCTCACTCCCGAGGGCTCTGGGCTGCTTCCCTGCGGGTGTGTGTCAGAGGGATTGCAGCCCACCCACGAGGGTGAGAAGCAGCGTCTCCCCCATCAGAAGAATGGAGAGAGAACTGCTTGCTCTGAGCTCTGTGTCAGCCACGGCCATTCTCGGCCCTGGAAACTTGCTGTGTCCCCTGTCCTCATGCCTCGGGAGGGAGAGATGCGGAAAGCGCCCAGTAACAGCCCTCGATTTCCGTCTTTCTGCTTTGCGGACAGCTGGAGGGAGGCAGTCGCTGTCCCTGGGACCACAAAGTCAGGCAGTGAAGGGGTTTACTCGCTTCAACCCCCCAGTTTCAACCCCCCGTGCCCACTGTCACCCACACCCCCTTCTGATGGCCTCTGTAGCATGTTAAGGGTAGGGAGAGGAGACCACCAGCTCATGCACCAGCCACATCTCGGGTGCACAGCTGGAAGCGGCCTCTGAGCACCATCAGGGGTGGCCAAAATGAGTGTTCACAGGCTGTGCTCTAACAGCCTGGAGCAGTGATCAGCTCCGGGTTCGGGGAGAGAAAGGAGCGAGGTGGGACTCACTGTGAAAATGGGGAGGGGGCTTCCGAGGGGCAAGGGGGGCTCCAGGCCGAGCCCGGCTTGCCTGAGACCTCAGCAGGCCCTTTTCTGCCGAGACCAGCTGTTGACTCATCGCTGCGCAGTGCGGCCGCCAGCCACAGAGCCAGCCCTTCAGAAGGCCCCAGCCCCTGACTTTGGACAACGCACAGTTTCTTGGGGGGCGTAGGAGGCCACACTAGGCCGTGCTCAGGACTCACTCCTGGCAGGCTCCGGCGACCCGGGGATAGCGCCAGGGTCAGCCGCTTGCCAGGCAAGTGCCCTGCCCACTGCACTGTCCCTCCGGCACCAACACGCAGCTTTGAAGACCCATCCGGGGCCAGGGCGACAGTACAGCGAGGAGGGCGTTTGCCCTGCACGCGGCCGACCCGGGCTCGTTCCCCGGCACCCCACAGGGTCCCCCGAGCGTCGCCAGGAGTAATTCCCGAGTGCAGAACCCCTGGGCATTGCCAGGTGTGACCCCAAAGGGCCAAGGAAAAAGCCCAAACGTGGTTCAGGACTCCGCAGTGGTGGCGGCAGCCCCCCTGCGGCCTGGCCCCGCCTCCGGCAGGTGGCTGGCAGGTGGCGGGCGAGCCGGAATCTGGAACGGGGTGGGGCGCCGCGGGGGCCGCCCTTCTGGGAGGATCGAGCAGTTGCTTGCAGTCCGGGGAGGTCGCGGGGAACGCAGGTGGGCCGAGTCTGCGTGACTAACACTCGTGACTCACGCGGCACATCTGCCGGCGCGGTAGCCTCGCCCCCCGCCCGCAGCTCCCGCCCACGGCCCCCTCCGGGAGACGGGCCAGGAAGACGCTGCTCTGGCGGGTGTGGGTGGCGCAATCCCCGCCAGGAAGAGCTGCGAGTCCCCCACCCGCACCCGCCGTGCGCGCACGCGCACGCACACGGAGCACGGGAGCAGGAGTCCTCCTGCGCAGGAGCTGCCTGCCCACAGCCCGGGCTCGCTGGCATCCCGGATGCACCTGCGACACGAGTCGGGGGTGTGGCCCGGGCCAAAGAGACGGAGCTCCCGAGTCAGTTTCCCCGGCAGGCCGTGCCGACGAGGCGGGGATGCACGGACGCGGCTCGGGGGCTCGAGGAGCCGCAGGGCGACGAGCGCGGCCCAGCCCGCAGCCCGGAAAAGCGGCCGCGCCCGCCACAGCGGCACTTCCCCGCCCGCCGGCCCGCCATCTTGGGGCGCTTCTGATTGGCGAGGCGCAGGTCACATGCTCGCCCCCGAGCCAATAGCCGTGCCCCCGGGGACGCCCTGTTCGGGTTGGCTGGTTCTGGGTCACGTGAACGCCCTCCAGCCTCGCCTGCGCGCCCCTCCGAGGCCGCGTCGCGGGGAGGTCGTTCCCCGAAGGGCGGGGCGTGGAGGCGGCGCTGCTGGGGCTGGCGGCGGAGACAGGCACAACAGCAGATGGCCCTGCCGTGCGTTCGGGCCGGGGGAGATGGAGCGGGGGTCCGGCTGGCTTTCCTGGGGAGCGGCCCGCCTCCCCCCCCTCGCCGCCGCCGGCTCTTAGGGGTCTTTGGCCGGCGTGGAGGCAGCCCCGGAGCTGAAGGCCCTCCGCAGCCCCCGGCCGTGCTGTCCCTGCTCCGTGCAAGCCCCAGGGCCCCGCGCCAGCGGCAGGGGAGGCCGCTCACGCCCACGGCTCGCTGCGGGGAGACAGAGCTGTCCCCAGTCGCGGCCACCCGGAGCCCGCTCGCGTGCTTCTGGGCCGATTGTGCCGCGTCTGAGCCCTTGCCGTGAAACTGGCACCAGGCTGGCATCCGTGGGGTCGCAGGGGCCTTTCCCTTCGCAGCGCTGTGCTTTATGGGGGCAGCCCGGGCAGGGGGTGGGCAGTGGGCGTTTGCGGGGAGCTTTGAGGAATAAGGGAGTCTGGGCTTGCCAGATTTCCGGGGCTGCGGGGGCGGGGGACTCCCAGTGGGGGGCCACACATGCTTAGGTCAGAGCATGCTAGGAGCAGAGTCCCTGGGGCGTGGGGACCAGCCAAAGGGGCCTCCCTTTAGGAGGTCTGGCATCATCACTGTCCGGTGGCACCCAGACCAGCCGCTGCCTTCACCAGCTTCCCCTGGACTGCGTTCACTGCAACGCTTATTGAGTGCCTCCTGTTTACCTGATGCCTCCCGCCAGTGCTCGGAGACCAGGTGGTGTCAGGGATTGAACTGGGGTCAACCTCCCTCTACGCTCTCTCCAGCTCCTCACCATAACCTCCCCCCGACCCCCATGCTCCCCTCGTGAACCACACCTGGTGATATTCAGGAGTTCCTACTGGCTCCGTGCTCAGAGATCACTCCTGGCAGGGCCCTGGGAACCCTAGGGGTGCTGGGGATCCAACCCAGGTTGGCTGGAGGCTGATTGGAAAAATAGCCTTGCTGCCCCCCTCCGACCCAGCGCCCCACTGAGTGTGTTCACAGTGCAGAAGGAGTGTCCTTGCATTCACAAGGTTGTCATGGATACAGTGAGGATGTTAGTGACAGTCACAGTGTAACTCAGTGACTGTGACAGGGCCACACCCTGTGACTTTTTAGAAGCTCTATGGTTCGGTGGGCTGGGTCCACACGGTGCGTGCAGGAGACCCAGGCTCAGTCCCCCCCAACCTTGCTGGGTCCCTATGGCGCTGCTGGGAGCAACCCCCTGCCCCAGCATGGAGCTGGAGTCACTCCCAAGCCACACACACAAAAGGAAGCAGGACAGACCTGTGGCGGCTGATCTGAGAAGCAGGAGGAGGAAGCACCCTGGAGGATAATGTTGTGTTTGTTTGTTTGTTTGTGGGCCACGCTGGTGCTCAGGGCTGACTCCTGGCTCTGCACTCAGGGAGCTGAGACTGACTGGCCTCGGGGCCTTGACCTCTATCAGCTGCATGCAAGGCCAGCTCCCTCCCTGCTGTGCTGTCACCTCTGGCCCCTGCGCTTCCTCTTCCTATAGGACCTTGACCTGTTGGCTCAGGGCCCTGTTCTTGGTCAGCCTTAGACGCTGCCCAGGGGTGCTCTGCGGGTACAGCCCCAGGGCGCGCACCTCAGTGACCCCCAGGGGATGAGTCCATGCCTTCCCGTGCAAGGTCCCGTTCCATCCTGCCAACACAAACTCACAACAAATCTAAGTCATGGTCTGGAAGATTTGAACTCTTAGCCATTGGGCGGGGAGGGGGCACAGTTCAACCCGCAGAGACCCCAAAGTGTCGTTGATGTTGAGGGGGCTCAGAAAAAGGAAGCCTGTGCTAGGGAGGCAGTGTAGGGCGGGGCGGGGTGTCAGGAGGCCACTGGTGACCCGTTACTGCGAGGGTCTGCCATGCGGGTTCCTGCCTGCCTGGTGCCCAGCCGTCGTGCGGGGACCCTCTGGATCTTCCCCGCTGAGCTCCCCCTTCTCCTGTCTCGTCCCCGAGGATTAAAGGCTGGTGGGTGTCTCACCACTACGTGTCCACGTTCCTGTCTGGCGTCATGCTGACTTGGTGAGTGCCCTGGGCCCGGTGCGCTGGGGGTGGGGGGGGGCGTCCCCACGAGGGGGTCCAGTTTTCCTCCCCATCGCTGGAGCCATTCAACACCTCACCTTTGCTCTCCCCCGTTTCTGCAGGCCCAACGGACTCATTTATCAGAAATTTCGCAACCAGTTTCTAGCTTTTTCCATTTTTCAGAGTGAGTGTCTTCTGCCCCATGGGGGAGGGCCTGGGGTTCCCATGGCCTCCAGGCCACTCTGGGTAGAAATGAGATGTCCCCCACCCCCATCCATTCCAGCTCAACCCCGCCCCAGGAGCCAGGAGTTCCCACCCCTCACTCCCTCGGGCCCCCCCAGATCCCAGCACTGATGTAGAACTGAGTGGACCCAGGGGCACTTGGTTTTTTCAAAAGGGAGCTAGGAGGGGTGGGAGATGGCCCAAAGGGTGAGGGGGCGCATGCTTTGCTCGTGGGGGTCCCCAAGCTCAATCCCAGGGCGGGAGATGGGCCCTGCCTGCTGTGGTCTGTGCTCTGGGCCCTGAGCTGTGTCGCCCCCTGCAGGCTGCGTCCAGTTCCTGCAGTACTATTACCAGCGGGGCTGTCTCTACCGGCTGCGGGCGTTGGGGGAGAGGAACCACCTGGACCTCACGGTGGGTAAGTACCCGGGCAGGGGTAAGCCGGACCGTCCATCCCACTCTTCCCCTGGACTCCCCATGCAGCGGCGTATGCCGGTGAGGACCGCGAAGGACCTGCCTTGTGCCGGCCCGGACAGCTGGCCTTCACCCAGTGGCTTTTCAGAATTCATCGTGGATTCTGTTTCCGCTGACGAGCGAGAACCGGCCGCGTGTTAGCCCGTGGCGCAGCCCCGAGCTGAGCCTCTTTCCCCTGTGTGTGATCTCACGGCTCGCAGCCAGCCCGGAGTTGGCGGCACATACGTGGCTTATGTCTGTGTCTTAGACCTTTGGTTTTGTGTTTTGGCCACAGTGCTCAGAACTAGTGGCTCTGGGTCAGGGGTCGCTCCTGGTGGTGATCAGGGATTGAGCCCGGGTTGGCTCCCTCCCCCTGGACTATCTCTCCAGCTCCATTAAACTTTTCGAATCAGGAAAAATCAGAAAAGTTTTTTTGTTTTGTTTTGCAGTGCCCAGGGCCTCATCCGTGTGGGGCAAATTCTCTGCCATGGAGCCGCCCCCCAGGCCCAGAATCAGGGTCGTCTGGGTCATGTCATCTCCACAGACTTTACCTCTAAACATCTGTATCTTTCTTGAGATGGGCGGGCTATTTGGGCCACACCTAACAGTGCTCGGGAGTGATCCCTGGCCATGCTCGGGGGGGCTGTGCTGGGGATTTGAACCAGGGTTGGCTAAAGCATCTGCCTGCTAGTCAAGTGCATGAATCCCTGTACTATTTCAGTAGTTTAAAAATGAATCTCCGGCTGGAGCGATAGCACAACGGGTAGGGCATTTGCCTTGCATGCGGCCTACCAGGGTTTAATTCCCGGCAACCCATATGGTCCTCTGAGCACCACCAGGAGTGACTCCCAAGTGCAGAGCCAGGACTAACCCCTGATCATCTCCATGTGTGACCCAAAAAAGAAAAAATATAATTAATCTCTGCTATCTCTCCAGCTCACATCTGTCTCTCAAGGGCCAGGAGTGAGTTCATGGTAGAGCACCTGTCTTCCGGCCTGAAGCCCAAAAAAGAAAAGAGTCAGAGAGATAGAACAGGGGGTAGGGCACTTCCCTTGCACACAGCCGACCCAGGTCTGATCCCCAAAACCCCATCTGGCCCCCAAGGAGCACCAGGAGTGATCTCGGAGCACAGAGTCAGGAGTAAGCCCTGAGCACCGCAGGGTGTGGCCCCAAACAACTACGGAAACAAAGGGCTTGTTGAGGGGCGGCTGCCGCAGTGGCTGGGGGGGCCGTGCGCCCTCTGGATTCTGCTGCTCTGGCTGTTTGTGGGTTGGGAGCCGCCCCTCCATCCTGCTTGGGGGGCTGGTGGGTGCAGCCGGACCCCTCACACAGCCCTTTGCCCCCTTCCTCCGCACAGAGGGGTTCCAGTCGTGGATGTGGCGAGGCCTCACCTTCCTCCTCCCGTTCCTCTTCTGCGGCCATGTGAGTCCCCTGCAGGCCGAGCGCCTGACCCCACACCTGCATGTTCAGGCCGGGCCACCGGGGGTCTGGGGGTATCAGTGTCTAAGGGTGGTTCGTCCCAGCAGCCAGCTGACTGGGCTGGGTCCCTGGGCTTTCCCGCGGGGTGCCAGGGGAACAGGGTGACCGAGCCTCTCTCCCCCTCAGTTTTGGCAGCTCTACAATGCCGTCACATTGTTTGAACTTTCCAGCCATGAGGAATGCAAAGAGTGGCAGGTAGGCGCGAATGTGTTGTGATGTGTATCTTAGATGAGTGGTATGGGAGAGATGTATTCACATATGTAGTGTGATATGTAAGTGTGTGATTGATAGGTGATGAATTTGTACGTGATGCGCGTGTAGTGAGATGAGTGTAATGTGTTGAAGATCCAGGGGGAAAACTAGAGTTTGCTCCTAGAGCCTGGGAGATGGTGGGAGGGTATTTGTGGGAACAGGGACCCCCCCCACAGGGCGCTGAGCTTGTACAGGAAGCTGAGGGAGGAGCCCCCAAAGGCCTGTCTGACCCTAAGCCCTGCCCTGTGGGGTCCCCTGCTCAGCCCTTGTCGCCCCCTGTCCCTTCTCTGCCCCTCTGGCCACAGGTGTTCATGCTGGCGCTCACCTTCCTCGTCCTCTTCCTCGGAAACTTCCTCACCACGCTCAGAGTGGTGCATGCCAAGCTCCAGAAGAACAAAAGCAAAGCCAAGAAGCCCTGAGCCGGCCCTGGGGCCGCGGGCTTCCTCAGGACTGTGGCTGCGTGGACCCCAGCCCCTCTATTTATGATGCCCCCCCATCCCTACCCCCTGCCTCTGCCCCGCGGCCTCCCCCGCCCCTCTCGGCCTCAGCTGGGGCCGGGCCGTCTTCCTGGGGGAGAGGCCGGAAGCCTCAGGGAGCCCCCCACCCCGTGCCCTGCTCCTGCCCGCGAGCCCTCGGGTGCGGGTGGGCGCGAGGGGGGCCGGCCTGGCCTAGCCCGTGCTCCTGCGCCCCCCATCCACGGGGTTGTTTAAGTTCTCAGAGAACCACTGACGCTGCCTGAGCGAGCGCCTGCTTTGCACGCCCATCCGGACTGGGCGGGCGCTGCTGTGGCCACCACCAGGGGGCGCTGCGCCCACACAGCCTCTGAGTGCCCCTGCCAGCTTCCCTGATTCTCAGCCTGAGCACCCCGGGGCCAGGGCCACCTGGAAGTCAGGGGCCCGGGCTGGGGGTGGGGTGAGCTGTCCTGCTGGTGGGCTGTAGGGGCGAGTGAGGGGCAGCTGCCCTTCCTGCCTGGCTCTCCCCCCTGTGGCCCCGGTCCTGCCCACTAAGGGGAGGCGCCTTCTCTCTGAGCAATGAGTTCCTTTTGCTGCTGTTGTTTTTGGTCTGCAGGCCACACCTGGCTGTGCTCAAGGGTCACTTCTGGGGGTGTGCTGGGGACCGCAACCGAGCTGGCCAGCTGCAGGGCACGCGCCTTCCCCATTGCATCCTCGTTCCAGCCCAGTGAGTCACACTTCCGTCTCCCCAGGACCCTCTAAGGGCACTGGGAGTGACCCTTGAGCACAGAACTGGGAGCAACCCCTGAGCACTGCCCAGTGTGACTTTAAAAAAAAAATCAGTGAGAACCTGGCCTGAGATTTCATGTAAAGATGCATAAACTTGCCTCCCCAGGCAGGGCGGTGGGGGTGCTGTTCCCACCCAACTCTACTGTTTCTGGCCCCTCAGCCAGTGTGGTTCGCCCCAGTTGGGAAGCAGTACCCACCCACAGAGAGATGGCGCACAGGCGGGGGCCAGGGCCTTTATTTACAGCAGCAGCTCCGTCACCCCCAGCCTTCACCCAGCCCTGTGGCATTCCCCGGGGAGCCTTGTTGAGGTGGGTCCCCTTCGTACATTCATATCCAAATCTGGGCCCGAGCCCCCAGCGGGGGCAGCGGGTTCTGTCAGGGGGGTGCTCCGGCTCCTGAACATTCCTCCCTGTCGAGGGCTGTGGCTGGGTGTCGGCGGGTGGGGACACCTGACGTCTCGTCATCTCTAGTTTCCGGCCATGGAGCAGAGGCGGAGGCAGGGATCGGGTGGGGGGTCTGGGCACGCTTCTCGGGGACACTTTCTCCTCCTTGGCATCTGCCCAGCTCTGGGAAAATGGCCAGAGTCTGAGCCGAGGCCCAAGGGGCCCCGTGTCCGGGGCGGGGGCCTGCGTCCTCCTGATAGCCCTGGCTCGTGATGGCCCCGAGTTCGCGGGGGAAGGAAGCCAGAAGCGGGGGGCTCTGGGTGCCTATCTCAGCAGCCCAGGGAGGCAGGTGGCACAGTGCCAGTCCACAGTGACCGTGACCCAAGGCCGCCTCCAGGCACAGCTCAGAGGGTATCCCGCTGGGGGCAGCGCTGGTCCGGGCACAGAGGGGTCAGCACCTTCAGTGTCAGTCTGTGGTCTTAGTCCCTGCCCGGAAGAGAGTTCCAGAATGTTCCACGGGTCGAGCCACACCTCCACACACACAAACGCCACACATGGCCGGGTGCTGTCGGGAAGTCGGGGTCAGGGCAGTTTGTTGGGGTGCAGCCGGGGTCAGAGCAGGAGGCACCGCTGGTGCTGCTTCCGCTTTGCCTTCTTCAGCGCGCTGAGGCCCACCTTGGCCGCCTCCCGGAAGATGCTCTCCACGTTCTCACGGAGCTTGGCCGAGCACTCCAGGTAGCGGGCGGCCCGGATCTGCTCGCAGGCGGTCTTGCCCTGGTGAGAGGGACTGTCAGGGCCTTGGCCCGGGGCTGGGGCCTCCTCTGGGGTCTCTGCAGCCCTGCACTGCCCTGAGGCGAGGCTGAGGTACCCCTGGGCCACCCCACGATGCTCAGGGGTTAATCCTGGCTCTGCAGTACTGTCTCGCAGGTCCTGGGCTATCTTTGTTTCTAAAGCAAATTCACCTTTATTTATGCTTATTTCTCTTTATTAAATGTTACTAGTTTCCCTTTTGGTTCCTTTTATTCTTCCTTCTCCTTTGCCTCACCCAGAAAGTCCCGGCGAGCCCTGGGCTGGGCCATGCTGTGGGGGGAGGGGCTGGCACACCCACTCTGCCCGGCCAGCACTTCGCCTCTGGGACCCCGTTTCCCCTAGTCCCCGCGGCAGAGCTGAGGAGTCACTGTGCTGACTCCGGAGGGGCTCAGATAGGCTTTCCACAGGAACACGTAAACTGGTTATTTTTGCCCCTTTCTTGGAGGGGGGAGGGGTTGGGGCCACACCCGGCATTGCTCAGGGCATACTCCTGGCTCGCCGGGGACCTTTTGGGGCGCTAGGGGTCACACCTGGATCAGCCATCTCTGGCCCCAACATGATTCTGTTTTTCTTGGAGATGGCGGGGGGCCCAGACCACAGAGGTCCAAGCCGGGCCCGGCATGCAAAGCTGGCGCTCCTTCCCTTTGAGCACCAGCCCCTCGGGCCTCAAGGCCTCGCCTGCGTGTAGGTGATGGGCCCTGGGACACTCCCCCCACCCCTCCTGGCCCGGCCTCACCTGCATGTAGGTGATGGGCTCCAGCTGTGCCGCCCGCAGCCGCCGCAGCATCTCCTTGTCCTTCCGCAGGTCAGTCTTGCACCCGATGAGCACCATGGGGGTTCCCCGGCAGAAATGCGTGACCTCAGGGAACCACTGTGGACAGAGGGGGATGGACAGAGTTGGACGGGGCTGGACAGGGCGCGTTAGGCGGTGGGGGCTGTGCGGGGTGGGGGCCTCACCTTGATGAGCACGTTGTCGTAGCTGGTGGGGTTCATGACATCGTAGCAGATGAGCACCAGCTGCGTGTTCTGGTAGGACAGGGGCCGCAGGCGGTCATAGTCCTCCTGCCCTGTGGTCAGAGCGGCAGGGGCTCAGGGGGGCCCAGCTTCCCAGTGACCCCGCACAGGAGCTCAGCGGCTGTCCCCCGAGCCCCCCTCGGGGCAGGGCGGGTCCGGGCCCACAGGGACACAGTGGCCATCTGGTGGGGGAGAGGGCTCATCCTCCGCATAGCCGCTGGGGAAAGGCTGTGTCCCGCGGCTGGCAGCACTTCCTTGGGAGTTTCGGGCAAACAGTGCTGGGTGCCAACTGCAAAGTGCCGGCTTGCAGGGGAAGCCCTGGACACCCCCCCACACACACACACCCGGTATCTGTGGACTCCCCAGCACCACACCGGGCACAGTTCTAGAGCAAAACAGGCGACAGTGGAGAACTTGAAGCCTCCTGCACCGTGACTCCACTGTTCTCCGCTCCCTAAGGACATGAATACCCTGTCCCCTTCTAGGGGACAAGTATCTGCAGGGAAAGCAACATGGCGGCCAGGCAGCCAGTGACCCAGCTTAGCGTGCCGCGGGCGCTGCTGTTATCTGGCCGCCAGTTCTGCAAACTCCCCCACCTCCCGCCCGTCACCTCTGCAGAAAGCAAGGTCACTTGCACAGAGCACAGAGGCCCCGGTGCCAGCCGTGTGGGTGCCGGCAGCACCCGCCTGCCCTCGTTCCCGCCGACGGGCCCTTGGGACAATGGCCTCCACTGATGACATCCCTGCCCCCTCCAACCCAGGCCCAGCAGAGCTGGTCTGTCACACTAACCTGCATCAGCCCCCCAGTATTGGGGAAGGGGGGAGGGACCCTTCTAAGAGGGAGGGAAACTCGGGGTCATGGTATAGCAGAGTGGCGGGGCGCCTACCTTGCATGTGACTGACCTGGGTTCGATCCCTGGCACCCCATATAGTCCCCTGAGCCCCACCAGGAGTGATCCCTGAGTCAGAGCCAGGAGTGAACCCTGAGCAGCACAGCCAGGTGTGACCCAAAAAGCCAAAACAAACCAATGGGCTGGTTTTTGTTTTTCTTTGTTTCTGGGTCACACCTACAATGCTCTTGGTTACTCTGGCTCTGCACTCTGGAATTACTCCTGGCAGTGCTCGGGGGATCCTATGGGATGGAACCTGGGTTGCCTGCCACGTGCAAGGCAAATGTCCTCCCCGCTGTACTATCGCTCGGGCCCCAGCCCATTGATTTTAAACACTATAATTTTTATGATTTTGTGGGTAAATAAATGATCTGGGCTTTCACTGAAAAGACATTATTTTATACTCATCTCTAGCAAATGTGGCTATGAGGCTTTGGAGTCTGCAGTGACAGAGACAGGGAACTAGAGTTTAGCAGTGACAGCGACTGGACTCAGAAGTTAAGAGATGCAAGAGAATCAGCAACAAACATTTAATATTTTCAGTTGGAAAGACAGGATAACTGCTTTTGAACGTATTTTCCTTCATGTCAAATTATTATACATAGATTTTTGTGTGTATTTTGGGGCCGCACCCAGTGGTGCTCAGAGAGCTGATTCCTGCCTCTGCTCAAGGACCACTCCTGGGGGGCTCGGGGACCGTATGGGGTCGAGCCCAGACTGGTCACGTGCAAGGTAGGTCCCCTACCACTCCACTATACCTTGGGTTGGCTGCAGTGTGGCGGGGCCCACTGTACTAGCACCCTTGTCCCAGGCCCTGTGGGGCTGGAGAGAGTTCAGGGGAGAGGGGGCCCTCCACATGCTGTGCTCCCTGCATGCTCCGACTCTGACCAGACGGGAAATAGGCCACCGACACAGACATCTCAGGAAAAGGGGCTGCAGAGCGAGAGCTGGAGGGGTGGGCATGGGGTGGGCACAGGCTAGGCACACACTTGGTGTGAACAAGGCCTGTTGTGTTTGGTTGGTTGTTGACTTCAGAGCCAAATCCGGTACTGTGCAGGGCTTACTCCTGGCTCGGGGCTCACTCCTGCTGGTGCTCAGGGGACCATGTGCAGTACCAGGGATCAAGCCTGGGGTGACTGTGTGCCCAGCAAGCGTCCTCCCCTCAGTCCTATCCCTCCAGCCCAGGAGCTCTGGGTCTGAGCTCTCGTAACACTCGGGTGCCCAAGCCCCAGCTGGAGTGGCCCCTGACCCAAGTATAAAGCCGGAGAGGCCCCTGAGCACTGCAGGGTTTACCCCCAAACCAAAAAGTAATTAAGAGGCCCTGGAAAGAGATATACAATCCAGTCAGACCCTGGTGCCTCCTCCAGGCCGCCTTCCAGACTTAACTGTGCTACGTCAGTTTCCCTTAAGGATACAGTGTGGGGCCCTGGCTGCAGGAGATGGACTTCTCAACACTGCTGACCTCAGGAGTGGGGTGGACAACAGGCTCCTCGCAGACACCCCTTTCTCTACCTTGGAATGGGGCCTCTCTAGGTCTCAGTTTTCTTATCTGGTAAAGGGGGTGATAAGGCTGAGTCACGCTGGACAGTGGCCACAGAAACTCCCAAGGGCCTGGGAAAGTTCCTTCCAGCCCCAGGCCCATGTGTTCTGAGGGCCTGAGTGTCAGAACCCCTCTGCTCTGCCCACAGAAGTACCAGGCTCGCACCCAGGGCCCACGGACCAGCAGGGAAGTCAGGGAGGGACAGGGCAGGGGACAAGTGTCCCATCACCCTGTATTGCCAGCTGGGGTGCCCACGAGGCCTGTGCTTTGTGCACAGATTGGCTGTGGCCATCAGCTTTCCAGGGGGTGGGGTCCCTAAGGCCTGAGCTGCCTTGAGGCCACATGGTCATGGGGCCACAGCGGTCCCCAGGTCCCCAAATCTGCCAGACCGTGAAGACCAGGCCGCAGGTCAGGCAGGGCCCCGGTGCCAGCGGGACGGCAGCCCTCATGACCCCCTACCCCGAAACTCCACTCCGACTGGGAAGGGATGCGACGTCCCCACCACCAGAACCCCACACCCTCCTGTGCGCCCCAAGCCTGGCCGCCCATCCTGCCCTGCCCCCCTGCTCAGGAAACTCCTCCTCACCACAGCTTCCTGCCCTCCTGTCTGTTGGGGTACCCACAGCCCCACCCCTCACCTTCGAGCAGCTGCCCGGGCCGGGGCCGGGGGTGGGGCGCAGACAGACCCCGAATCAGCCCAAGGCACCCCCTACTCTGGGGAACCACGTGGAGTTGGAAAAACGCCCTCGTTTCTCACCATGGCGCTAGCCCTCAGGTCCCAAAACCTTCTACCACAGGTTGGCCCCATTCAGCCTCAATCTCACTCTAGCCGCTCACTCGCGGTCCCTTCCTGCTCTGTCCCCAAAGCATCCGCTGCGAGCACGTGGGTAGACCTGTTAGCCATCTCGGGTCCCTGCGAGCGGCACCGCAGTGGGGAACCGCCTCTTCCCCCTCCTTGAGCCGTCCAGGCCGCCACAGGCCCTCTGGGGTCCGGATTCCAGAGGAGGAATGTGAGGCAGCAGCCCCCTCCGTGAGAGCAAAGCTCAGGTCTGACACGAAGGCAGGCCGCTGCCATAGGGTCCACAGGGTCACACCTCCCCCGCCCCGCCCCGCAGCCACCAGCCCCAGCCGCAGGTCTCCCGCTAACCCCCCATCCCACACCCTGCCCTCTAACACCTCACTCCCCGCAGCCCACCAGGCTGAGCACGACTGCACGCTAGGGCCGGGGTTGACCCCTGATCCTGCATACTTTCCGCCCAACAATGAGTCAGGAGCGATCCCCCAAACCAGATAAGATTCCTAATGTCTTTCAGCGTTCCGAGCAAGGCTGCTGTGGAGGGAGGCCGGCAGGGATGGCCCTGCCAGCAGTGGCATCTGTCCCGCAGTGGTGTCCGTCTGTCTGGCAGTGATGTCAGTCTATGCTGCAGTGGTGTCCATCTGTCCGTCTGCAGCGTTGCCCTCTCAGTCTGCCCCTGCCTGCAGCAAGCAGGCCCCAGAGGGGTCTCCGCCGGACGCGTGGGGCGGGGGGTGGTTAGAGAGGCAGCCCCTGCCCCGTGAACCTGCGCCCGGGTGGGGTCAGCAGACAGAAACTAAAAGTGGCCACAGCAGCCTCGCCCAGGGACGCCGGGGACTCCCCAGCAAGGTCTGGCCGTGACCCGATTCCAGGGCAGCCTGCAGGCCCCTCCCCAGGCAAGAGGCAGACACACCCAGGGGACACAGGTGGGCCAAGTCAGAGCAGAAAGGGGGCAGGAGGGGGCAGGCTGGTTCTCCAGGAGGTGGGGGGAGGGGGAGACGGGGGTGGGGGGGTGGGAACGTCTTGGGTAGGGGAAGGGAGGGGAAGCCAGCCGATGACAAGGCTCCACACAGGTCACTAAACAGTGACTCAGAGAGGTGGGGACTCTGCCCTCTGCTCCCTGGTGGGATAGACTTCAAAGTAGCTGCACCCGGGGGCGCCCTAGCTGCAGGTGGCAGAGCCGAGGCTCTCCCCAGGAAATCGGGAAGGCTAAGCCAAGCCCAAGACCCCCCAGAGCCACAGCCATGCACCCCACCCCACCCCACACAACCCAGCGTAGGCCCGGAGCCTGAGGGAGCCCCCAGAAACGCGGTCTGGGCCCAGCGCAGGGCTCCAGGGCATCCACAGCACGCGGGGAGGGGGGAACCCTAGCAGTGGGGAGCGGAGGCCCGGCTGAGGCTGGGGTCTCCTCGCACCCGAACCCTGCTAGGCACACGGGGGGAGGCGCTGGCCAGAGCGAGCCCTGGAGACTCACCCGCCGTGTCGTACAGGTTGAGGGTCACCTCCTGGTTGCCCACCATCACGCTGGCCGTGTACTTCTCGAACACGGAGGGCGCGTAGTGCTGCCGGGGCGGGAGGGGGCGGTGAGGCTGGGGTCCACCGGGAGGGGCAGGAACCCTCGCGCCCCCCCCCCCGCCCGCGGGCCTCACCTCGGGGAAGGAGCCCTGGCAGTAGACCATGAGCAGGGACGTCTTGCCGCAGCCGCCGTCGCCCACGATCACGATCTTGAGCTCCTTGCGGGCCGGGCCCGGGCCCGGGCCGGCGGGGGCGTCCATGGCCCCGAGCCCGCTGCTCTGGCTCGCAGCGACAGGGCGCGGGGCACTGCGAGCGGGGTGCCCGCGCCGGGGGCGGGGTCGCGGCCGCCCCGCCCCGCCCGCCGGCGCCGCCTCCGCCAGGCAGCCGCCCGGGCCACCTCCGCGCCCGGTCCGGGTCCCAGACACTGCCGCCGCCGCCGGGGGACGCGCGCTTCCGTCCGGCCCCACGCGTCCAGGGCTCCGGCTTCCCCCGTCCGGAGCAGGTGCCCCTGATTGGCAGCTCGGCTCCAGCAGGGACCTCTGATTGGCCGGCTCGGCCGCCCCCGCCGGTCGGGGGCTCTTTGGATTGGCGGCCCCCACGCCCCCGGGTTCCAGGCGCTTCGGCGCCCGCGTGGGGGAGCGGCCCGGCCGGCACGGCGCGGCCCTGGCCCCGCGCCCCCACCTGCTCGGGGCTGCAGGGTGGACGCCTCGCGCCCCCTGCTGGGCCGCCCGCGAGCGTTGGGAGCCGTCCCCGGGGGAGAGCCCCGCGCGGGAGGAGCAGGAACCCTCGCCGTGCTCAGGGGTGACTCCGGGGGGCCAGTGGGGACCCCCAGCACCAGTCGCGGTCCTGAGGGCACCTGGTGTGGGGACCACGCAAGGCGGGGTTCCACCCCCGCCCCAAACCCGAGCAGTTGCTAGGGGCAGGTACCACTGGCCCCCCGAGCCCCTTGCTCCTGTGCTCTCACTCAAGGCAGTGGCCAGGGCTGGGGAGGGAACCAGGCGGCCCTGGCCGGCCGAGAGGCTGGCAGCGTCCCCGCCCCATCCCCACGCCCACGCTCTCTGCGAAGATCGGGGAGTTCCTGGGGGACGAGATGCCACGGCCAGCCTGGCAGTGCTCCCTGGCCAGGTTCGCCCGTGGCAGGGCAGGGTGTGACCACCAGGGGGCAGCAGCGGCCGCCGTGGGGGCTACGGGGAGCGGAAGGGCTGGCCCGGGCTGGGTGGGGCCCAGACAAAGTTACGCGGACTCATTCATTCCTTTTCGGCAACACGGGTTTATTCAGAGCCAGCTGCAGTCTACAAGGTCTGGGGAGGGGCGCGCGCGGGAGGGGCCGGGGCACACCCACGCTGGGCAGATGCCCACGGCCAGCCCCGGGGGTCAGGGCCACCAGGTGGCGGGGAACGGGGCTCGAGCACAAAGGGCCTGGCGGGCGGCTCCAGTCCAGGAGCAGCCCAGGTCTTCTCTGTGGCCTCTTCTGGGACAGCCTGCGGCTCCCGTGGGCTGGGTCTCGGAGTCGCCCGAGCAAGGCTCTCCCGGGCACAAGGCCCACAGGGGACACAGGGAGGAGAGGCCCACTCACCTTTGCACAGCCAGCCCCCGGCTTCCAACTTGCCTCAAAATCCTCAGGCCTCAGTCCCACTTTCTCCATCGGAGAAATGGGGCTGAACTTGGGATGAGCGGCGGCGGCGAGGGGGGGGCGGGAGCCCCCGCACCCAGCCTGGGGGAACAGCTGTGGCAGCCGGGCAGTGTCAGAGCTGGACCGGGCTCCAGGGCTGATGCGGGGGCTGGATTTGTGGCTAAAAATACCCGGGAGCCAGGCCAGTTGCCCTGCACCTCCTGGAGGACTGCCCCGAGCCTGCTCTTACCTGCAAGCCAGCCGCGCCGGAAGCCAGGCTCTGTCCTCCTGACACCAGGGATTCCTGGAGAGTGGGGAGGACCAGGACTGCAGGCTGGTTCTTGTCACAGCTGTCGGGACAGCCGGCGGGGGGGCATCTGTGGGCGTGCCCAAGGCTCTCAGCCATCAGGTGGTTGGGGTGCAGGGAGGCCCCACACTGCCCACCCTCTCCACTCCTGCCCCGCTGGCTACGCCCCGTCTTCCTCTGGGGCCACAGGAGAGGAGACCCAGCCCAGCCCAGCCCAGCGTGGCCAAGTGCCAAGGTCACTGGCTGCAAACATGCCTGGGGGCCTCTCCAACAGAGGGTCCAAAAGGTCACACGCAGGCGGGCGGGAGGGAGGGGGCGGGGCGCTGGGCACCCAGTAGTGGAGCGGCCCAGCTGCCCTTCCGCTGGCGTGGCCCTCTCCAGGCTGGCCAGGGCCTGGCGCCAGCACAGCAGGAGCCGGCCCAGGGCTCCTCTGGCGGAGGGGCAGCGGCCACGCCCCTCCTGTCCCGGCCCGGTGACAAAGCCAGCAGAGGGAGGCAAGTGAGGAAAGGAAGCAGGGAAGGGACACCATCCTTCCAGATCTTTCCAGGTCACCTCTCCTCTGGGCCTTCCAAGAATCACGCCCAGACCACACTTTAGCGCCTAATTGCTCCCTAATTGGCTGGGGCAGGAGTGGAGGAACGGGCTGGGCTGGGGCAGGGAGGGGAGGCTCGAATCAATTAACCACCTCGGCCGGGGCCTCCGGGGAGAGACTCACCCAGGGGGACAGGGGGCCCTTGGGGGCAGAGGGTCCCAGGGGAGGGAAACAGCGACACCTCAGCTACATCCCCCCACTCCCTTACCTCCGGGAGGTGGATCAGGGTGCCCCCCCCACCAGGGCCAAGATGAACCCACCCAGCGAGGCGGGACTGGAGCCCCTCTGCGCCCAGGGTCATGTGGCAAGTCCAGCCGGCCGGGAGCGCTGCCCGCTGCGGCCAGCAGACAGCTGGCACGGGAGGGAGCCCAAAATAGCCCAGACAGCTGGGCCGCCGGGTGCCACGGCCGGGCTGCAGGCAAGACACCTGGAATCCCGTCCTGGGGGCCGGGGCCTTGTGACCTTGGCTGAGTCGCTTTCGGGGCCGAGGACGGGTGACCCCCAAACCACGGCCCCACCCGGCACCCCTGGCCCCAAACAGGCCGCCGGGCAGGTCCTGCCTCCAGACTCAAAGCTCCGGAGAACAGAAAACCGACGCGGGAGCCGGCCGCGTCACGCAGGGCCGGGGGACCCGCGGCGGCCACGTGCTCGGGAGGGCCCGGGAGGAGCCGGCCATCGCCCGCGGCCACGCCCGCGGCCGCCCCTGGCCACGCCCCGCCCTGCCGCCCTCCCGGGGCCTCGCGGGGACCCGCCCAAGGTCACCCGCCTTCCCGGAGGCTCCGAAGCCGCCAACGGGGGGGAGGGGGGGAGGGCGGGCGGCGCCCCCGCGGGGTTCTGGAAGCCGCGGCGGGGGTCAGGGGCCAAAGGTCACCGCCTGGGGGGGAGGCTTCCCGGGCGCCCCGAGGGGCGGCGCCTGCGGACAAAGCGCGCCGTGTCGCCCGTCGGCCGCGCGTGACTCGGCCTGGGGGGCTCGGCCGGCCCGCGCCCGGCCCCACGGCGGGCACAGCTGGCACGCGGCGCGGGGGCGGGGCCGCGGAACCGGCCCGGCGGGTTCGGCCCCCGCCCCCCGTCTCCTCGGGCCGGCACCTACCTTGGCGGGGGACAGCGGCCAGGCCGGCCCGCGGCGCCGGGGGTCACCGACGGGACAGACCGGACGGGCCGCCCCTCCCCCCACCCGCGGGGCGCCCGGGCGTTGGCGGCCTCCGCGGGGGGGGCCAAAGGGGCTCCCGGCGGGGGGGCCGAGGCCGACCCGGGGTTGGGGCCCGGGGCTGGGGCTCCCGCCGGCTCTCCTCTCCCCGCCGCCGCCCCAGCCGCGGACGCCGCGCGAAATGGCGCCCGTCAGGCCGCCTCGCCCGTCAGTCAGTCAGCGAGCCGGGCCGCCGCGGCCGGGCAGCCGGTTCGGTCAGCCGGTCAGCCGGGCCGCCATGTCAGGCAGCCGGGCCGCCTCCGTGTGCCAGTCCGGCCGCCCAAGTAAGTCAGGCAGCCTCGTCAGGCAGGCAGGCAGTCAGTCTCGTCAGTCAGTCAGGCAGGCAGCCTCGTCAGGCAGCCTCGTCAGGCAGGCAGGCAGTCAGTCAGGCAGCCTCGTCAGGCAGCCTCGTCAGGCAGTCAGTCAGTCAGTCAGTCAGGCAGTCAGTCAGTCCGTCCGTCCGCCGCCCCCCGCCCCCCCGCCCCGGGGCCGCCAACGAGGCCCGGGGCGGGAAACGCGACTCTGAACCCGAGGATCAACGGGCGCGGGAGGGAGGCCCGGCGGGGCCGGCGGCCGGGCTGCTGCGTCATGCTGCCAACATGGACGCCGGCCTTTGTCCTGGGGCGCGGCGAGCGCCGGCGGCCGCGGAGCCCCGGAGAGCCGAGGGGCGCCCACGAAACCGACGGGGAAACGGGTCCCGGGCCGGCCGGGCGCAGCCCCTGACCTGCCCCAGCTCCCGAGCCCCGCGCCCACCCCGAGCCCTTCCACGCCCCCCACCCCCCAGCAGGCGCGCACCCGGGAGGGCGACAGGGCAGGGCGCGGGCGGCGCGCAGGACCGCGGGGGCGCGGGGGACCCCCGCTCGCCTCCCGCGCAGAGGGGCCCCGGCGCCCACCGCGACCCCCGACCCCACCCGGCTGCCCAAAGTGAAAAGCTCCAGAAACCGCCGCCTTCCCGCGGCTCCCCGACCTTCGCGGCCCTGGGCCTGCGGATTTCCTCGAAGGGGCCAAAAGGCGCTTCGCTTTACTCTTATTATCGATACGATTTACTTACCCGCTCAGCCCGGAGCCATTGGAGTCCGGAGGATCAAGCTGGGCGGAGGTTTTGGAAGTGTTTTTGTAAAACCCCCCCCCAAAAAAACAAAAAACCAAGCAGAACCTCTTTGAGGGGGGATTGTTTAGGTGGGAATACTTGGGGGCGAATGGTGGTGTCTTTTGTTGCTGTTACCTTTTTTGTAAGTTACACTCTCATGGCAATTTCTGCTCCTTCCACTTCGGCAAACTTTCCAGGGTTGGGTTGGCAAGAGGCGGCTTCGCTGAGGACTGTTTACTGTTCTGGATATAGCAATGGTGTGACCGTCATTAAGAGACAAAAGGCGAAAACAGAGTCAAGATCAAACAAAGGCAAAAGACGCACCGGCCATCCCAACCGCCATAGAAACACCCGAGCAAACGTCGTGCTTGGCTCGAGCCAGCTCGGACTTGTTCCCCAGTTTTAATCTAGTTTTCTGTGACGGCTCTAGTCTCTCTACACAAAGAGAGAGAAGGTTCTCTCCCCACCCCCACCCCACCATGAGAAAGACAGAGCTGTTTCTCTTCAAATAGATCGATTTTC